AACACTGCACAGACCATCTCTGAAAGGATACACGAGATACTGGTAATTATTAATCTTTCAGAAATGGATGGTTAGAGGACAGTGGTTAGAGGCAAACCTTACTCTACATGTTTGTGCACATGGGGTGCATGTGTGTATGCAATTTTGCACGGCTTAAAAAAAAACTATATTCATGTATTTTAAAGAGATGATTATTGATGCCTACTAACAAAGACTTCTTGGTGTTTTGTATCTTATGTGTGTCAGGTGATTCTCAGAGCTTTGGTCTCTAGTTTCACCCTAGCTTTGGCCCTCCTAGGAAAAGCTAGTTAATGGGAGGACAGCTCAGTAACTGACTAGTAAGAAACACTACCACCTTATTTTTGTAAATATGGCCAGAGGATGCTATAGCCTACCTTTCTACTTTCTAAATATTCTCAATATGAACTTTACGCAGTAGTACTGACTCAACATCCACAGAGAGTTCAATATTGTGACTGTCTCATCCATCTGGAGTAAATCAGTTCCTTGTAATAATCGTACTGACACTGTATTTTGAGAACTCCTTCAGGAATATGGTTCACATTTCCAGTCATGTTCATTTAAAAATATTTGCCACAGGGGAAAAATAGGCTATTGATTTAAAATAATCCTTTTATTTATTTAAATTACCATTTCTTGACAGTACATTTCATTTAAATAACCAATCAGCTACTCTCTTTCCCAGGGACCTATTTTAATTTTAACAAGTGAGGACACTGCAGTATTTAGGTTTGTTGGTCTGCCACGTGTTGATTGTAAACATGTATATTTTATTCCTTCTGAGAAGGGTTTCTAAATGCAACCTATGGGAGAGACATAAAAATTGATTAGCATGAACTTGTTAACAGTGAATGTAGGCCAACTGATAAAGCTAACCTAAGAAACACGTCACTGCAGCAAATAACAAATCTTCAAACTTGTGGCTCCAGTGGACCAGTTCTCCTTGTCAGATAAAAGAATGAAGTAGTGATAATGGTGATAAAATGCACCTCTTTGTGTTCCCTTAAAAGAAACTGGTAGCTCCAATTGTTGAAGTTCTCTTGTATCTATCTACTCAACGTAATAAAGTTCTCCCTTTAATCTTGGATGATGAATAGCACCTTAATCACAGGTTACACAAATGGGCACCATTTCTTTATGGTACTTGACTTCAATCCCTTTTCCTTTTGCCACCCTAGGCTTATTGACATCTATGTTCATGATTTTTTTGTTTCTTTCAAATGCAAAGAAGGCTGTGGGATGGGAACCTTTGAGATGAACTCAGCCTCATTGCATATCAGAAGAAAAGTATGTTCACCTCTAAGAATATGGGGGCACAGACAATAAAGTGAGTTCCTTAATTTATTTATTAGATATCAGAACAATCATCCTCTTCCAGCTCCTCTCCCAGTTCATAATGTGCTCTTTAGAACTAAGAGGGCTTCACTTGAACATTCCTTCCTAGTGAAGGGAGGTGATTGTTTTTCTCCTTCCTTCTCCTTATCCTCCCCTAAATCTAGAGTGTTTATTTTTTACCAATTTTGACTAGCTCTACCTCAGAAATTCTTGTCAAAGAAGTAGGTTGACTCTCTCTCTCCTCATATATATATATATATATATATATATATATATATATATATATATGTAATTTCTAAACTTTCCCAGGAATGAAAAGTCATCCCTATCCACCCCTCTCAACTCCAAGTAACAATAACAGAAAACACCATCCTCCTTTCTAACCTAGCTTCAAATCCTGTTGTTTCTAGCTCCTAAAAAAATTTCTTGCCCTGGCCAGTGTGGCTGTTTTTTAGAATTTAGTCCGTACACCAAAATGTTGCAAGTTTGATCCTCAGTTGGGGTGTGTACAGGAGGCAGCCCATCACACCGATATTTCTTTTTCTCCTTTCCCCTCTCTCTCTAAAGGTCAATCTAAAAAAATCTCTCAAATCTTCCCTCTTTATCTCTATTGTCACCACCCTATTCAAAAAGCCTCTCAATGTAATTTTTTTTTCTTTATTGATTTGAGAGAGAGGAAGGGAGAGGGAGAGATAGAAACATCCATGACAGAGCATCAGTTGACCGCCTCCTACATGTCCCACACTGGGGATTTGCCCACAACCTGGGCATGTGCCCTGACCAGGAATCGAACTGGGGACCTTTTGGTGCATGGGTTGACACTCGACTACTGAGTCACACCTGCCGGGCTCTCAATGTAAATTTTTTGTCCAAGAGAATCTTTTATTCTCCATAATAAAAGTTTAGCATGAAAGAGTGCTGCAAGTTAGTTATTTGGGTTAAAAATAATACTTATTAACAAAATTTTAAAAACCTGGTGTTCCATAGTCATTAGTTTTAATTTACAAAACTTGCTTGTCTCTCCACATATAATCTAGACATATACAAATCTAAACATCACTTTGATATTTAGTCTGAAAACCTATTATTTTATATTCTTGAATGCATGAGGCATAGCACAGTGCCTGGAACACAAAAAACCACTTAATATGTTTGTTACATGAGTGGGTAATTATTTAAAGTTACTTTCTTTTCTCCCTCATATTCTCCCAATTTTCTCTAAGTAAAAATTAAAGCTGTTCACTTTTTAACTTTGTATGGTAACAGTTACTTTAAAAAACAACTTCTGCACTGGCCGGTTTGGCTCAGTGGTTGGAGCACTGGCCTGCAGGCCAGAGAGTCCTGGGTTCGACTCCTGCTAGGGGCATGCACCAAAAACAAAACAAAACACAACAACACAAAACAACTTCCAATTTTACTACTAGGTGTTACTTCTGATTATAATAAGCAAAGTTTCATTCTATGTATTTAGGTTTCTAATGCATTCGGATTTACACATTATGGATGATGACTTCAGCTATTTGGAAAATGAAGGCAAGAGTAAATATGGGCAGGATCCCTAACATCTTCACAAATTGTGATTTATAGTGATAATCTGTTAGGAAAGGATAACCCATTTTCCTTCTTGAAAGGGAGATTTAAGAACAAAAAACCTGCCCTGGCCAGTTTGGCTCAGCAGTTAGAGCGTCGGCCTGCGGTCCTGAGAGACCCGGGTTCGGTTCCCGCTAAGGGCGCGTGCCTCGGCTGCAGTTTGTCCCCGGCCCTGGTTGTTGTGCGGGTGGCAGCCACTCGATGTGTTCCTTTCACATCGATGTTTCTCTCTCTCTCTCTGTTCCTCTCTCTCCCTCCCACTCGTACCTGAACAAAAAATGGAAAAATGTCCTCGGGTGAGGATAAAAAACAAACAAACAAACAAAAAAAAGAACAAAAAACCTCTAGGATTTCTAAATTTTTCAGATGAGTAAGTCCCTATCTCTTTGATACTACACATCCACAGAGCCAAGCCAATCAAATTTTTTGTTATTAGCTTTGGGTGTGTGTGTGTGTGTGTGTGTGGGGGGGGGGTTGAGGAGAATACCCAGCTTTCTTTTCCCTAAAAGTAGGCCAGAGTAAACAACTCAATCTTTCAATCTTTAAATCAGTAATCTTGGACCCAGCTGGTGTGGCTCAGCGATTGAGCATCACACATGGATCAAGAGGTCACCGGTTTGATTTCTGCTCAGGGAAAATGCCCAGGTTGCAGGTTTGATCCCCAGTGAGGGGCATGCAAGAGGCAGTCAACCCATGTGTCTTTCTCATTGATGTTTCTCTCTCTCCCTCTCTCTATAGATCAATTAAAAAAAAAAAAATTGCCCTGGCCGGTTTGGCTCAGCGGTTGGAGCGTTGGCCTGCGGTCCAGAGAGACCCGGGTTCGGTTCCCGCTGTGGGCACGTACCTCGGTTGCAGTTTGTCCCCGGCCCTGGTTGGTCGTGCGGGTGGCAGCCACTCGATGTGTCCCTTCACGTCGATGTTTCTCTCTCTCTCTCTTCCTCTCTCTCCCTCCCGCTCTATCTGAACAAAAAATGGAAAAATGTCCTCGGGAGAGGAAAAAAAAAAAAAAAATCTTGGGGGAGGCAGGATAGGGAGGAGGGTGTCTGCAGTGGGGAGGAGGAGAAACATCCGTAACAAAAATAAATTAATTAATAAAAAAAAATCTTGAATACTTCAAAACAACTAATCTGTCAGTGGTTGAGCATCGACCCATGCATCAACAGGTCACCGGGTCCATTCCCAGTCAGGGCACATGACCAGGTTGTGGGCCCAATCCCCACACATGCAGGAGAGGGCTAATGGATGCTCTCTCATGGATATTTCTATCTCTTCCTCTCCCTCTCCCTTCCTCTCTCTAAAAATCAATAAAGAAAAAAAAAAAAAAGGTCTAGCAAAGAAAACATGTTTGGGGATATATGAAACAAGATTTTTAAAATGTTGATATTTTCTGAAATTCTTTAACTTCATTATACTTTTCTTTGAGATCCGTCCACAGTAAGAAGTTCAAAATTTTAGCTTTTTCTGTTTTTTACACTCAGAACTCCCTTTTGCCTATTGATCTGAGATGGCTTCTGGCCACAGGAGGAGGAAGACTGCACAACCAGTTCTTTTGCAAACCTCTGCCTGACCACTTGTTAATACACCAACTCATTAAGTGAGGCGTTCTCTTTGTTATATACATGTATAATCAACATATAAGTATTTATTTCATTTAAAAAGAAAGTTTGCCTTTCGCATATATCTCAAGTTTGGGGACTACTAAATTTCTTCAATTTATCCCAAATTTCTTCCACAAACAGCCTTTGCCCGTCACGCCACACGTTTCGGGGAGACACTACGGGTGTCCGTAGAACCGCGTTCCTGGAATGGGCTTTCTTCAGAGCAGGAAAGCCTTGGCCTTGCACACTCCAGGACTCAGTTTCCACCGGGTGGAGCGGGACGCCCCGCCCCGCCCCCCCCGCAAGCAGCCCCGCCCCGAGGGCGGAGACCGGGCGGAGCCGCGCGCTCTCCTCCGCCTCCTTCCGACTCGCCGCTGCCCCGGGTGCCGGCGGCGCATGTGCCTGGCGCCCCTCCCCGGCCCTGGATTCCACTTCCCCTCCGCTCGCGCTGCAGCCGCAGCCGCCTACAGGCCCCGCGCCGCCTCCGGAGTCCATGGCCGGGACGCGCTGGGTGCTCGGGGCGCTGCTCCGGGGCTGCGGCTGTAACTGCAGCAGCTGCCGGCGCACCGGCGCCGCCTGCCTGCCCTTCTATTCGGCCGCCGGCTCCTTCCCTTCGGGCGTCTCGGGCCGCCGCCGCCTGCTGCTGTTGCTCGGGGCCGCCGCGGCCGCCGCCTCTCAGACGCGGGGCCTCCAGACCGGGCCTGCGTCCGCCGGGAGGCTGGCGGGGCCTCCCCCTGCGGCCACGTCCGCCGCCGCCGCGGCTGCTGCCTCTTACCCGGCCCTGCGCGCCCCTCTGCTGCCGCAGTCGCTGGCGGCGGCCGCGGGCCCAGCGCGGGGCTACAGTCAGGTACGTGGGCTCCGTAAGAGGCCGCGCGCGCGACCCTTCCCCGGCCCCGCGCACGCGCACGCGGCCCCGCGCCCACGCGCCCCTGCGCCCCTCCGCGTGCGCCTCGCGTGTGAGGCCGGGCATCCTCGGCTCGCGCTGCACATTCGCCCCCACCCCCACTCCGGCCGCCCAGTCCTCCTATTGGGCCCCGGAACAAGGGACGCTCTCCCAGGCCTCGGGTTTTCTCCTTGTTTTGTTCTCTGCGTCTCTGGTCGGTTGGGCAGTGTAAGTGTGGCTGGGGGTGAATGTTGAGGCCTTGTTTCCTGCCGGCCCATGGTAGGTTTTGTGAGGCTATTGACACCCCACACCGCATCCCCGTCGCAAACCATACGCCTGCTGTGAGTTTCAAAGCCCGACTCCGCGGAGAGCTGAGAGTTTCTGTGCAGCCGAGCTCTGAGCTCGGGAGGCCCACGGATGTGAAGGTTCACGCGCCACAGTTGCGTGGGCTGGGTTCGTGGGGGAGGAGGCTCGTGCTCCACTATCTGTAGTGTCCCTGGGAAAGGCGGGCTGCCCCAGATTACTGAAGGTCACCTTCTGCGCCTCCACTTGCTCTGACAGAAGGCCCTTTAGGACCAAGGGTTGCCGCCGACAGGACGGTTTGGAGACTTATATTGGGGGAGAGGGGACATCTAGGACTGAGCCCACGATTTGGGGATCTAGGAGGGGGCCTACAGTGTCTTTTTTTTAAGTCTGTGTGCTTTAAGAACTTAGATTGCAAATATGTTGTGCCTTGTAGGAAGCTTTCTTTCAGCTTGTTGCGTGGCATCTGGGAAATGTCACCACACCTTTTTACTACCCAGCTCCTGATGCCTTGAGTCATATTTATCTTAATTCAATTGGTACTTCTCCTTGAACTCAGGGAAACTGGGAGGCTAATCAGCATGGCTGCTGTCTGCCAGTGGCTGAGCTAATTGACTTGAATCCTGGCCCAGTACTTTCTGCTGCCCTTCTCTGTAAAAGCTTGTGATGCTTATGGAATTCTGGGAAATTGGGGAATGTTACCTTTACTAAAAAACAAACTATCTTTTATAAGCCTTCGTGAACTGGCTACTCTACTTACTTTTTTCTGTGAGATTGACTATAGTGGTATCTGTTGAGCCTCTACTACTGTTATACACTGCTTACATTTGTCATTGACTTCTTACAATTATATGTAAGTCTTCATGAAAATGATGGGAACATGTAAAGGAGTGAAGTATTTTTCTCTTTAGCCCAGTAGAGTGTAAGTCACTTGACTTAAAGCCCAAATTGTCTTCTCCTGTTAATTGTAGTGCTAATTGCATTCTTATTAAATATGTATTAGACATCTGCTAGAGGTTTACATTTATCATTGACTCCATATATTTAGACATGAGTCTTCATGTAAACTGTGTGAGTACAAAGGAATCTTTTTCCTGAGCCCAGTAGATTGCAAATCTTAAAACTTGAGTTGTACACTTTGTTGTGGTTATGGTGCTTGTTGGAATCTTACTAAATTCCAACTTTTGCTTAGTTTTGTAAAATAGAGTTCTTTTTGTTTATTTCTTAAACTGAATTTATTGGGTGACACTGGTTAACAAAATTATACAGGTTTCAGGTGCATACTTCTACAACACATCTGTACACTGTATTGAGTGTTCACCACCCCAAGTCAAGTCTCCATTCATCACCATTTATTCCTCCTATACCCTCCTCCACCCCCCTACCTCCACCCCCACCCACCACTCTGCTTAAAACTACAATAGGGTTCTTTAGATATGTCTCAGGCTCCTGTTACCTCATGCAACTGCTTTTGCCTTTTATGATTTTTTTCCTTATTCAGTTGGTCTGACATACCAGTGGACAGATTAATCTTTCTAAGCATCGTGCTGTCTGGTTGATTTATGCACTTCTAAATGTCTTTTATTAACTCCCCTCTGCCTACCAGGTTAAGGAGACACATTGAGCTTAACACTCAAGTCTCTCTGCTAAATGGTACCAAGTTCCTTTTGCCAGCTTGTCTTCCTTGGCCCCTAATTGGACCCTACAGTTTAGCCAAATGGGATTATTGCTGTTTTGCAAATGGGCTTTTGTTCATACTGCTTCCACCCCCCACCTCTCAAACTGGAATACCCTTTTCTTTATATGTGGTGGTCAGAAGTCTATCTTTTCTTCAAGGTCCATATCATATCATGTCTTGATTCTTCTGTTAGTGCTCGTTTTGAATTCTTACAGTGTATCTCAGAGCACTTAAAGCATCTTGTCTTGTATGCTTGTCTTAGTCTAGATAGTAAACTTTTTGAGATGAGAGCCTAATAGTGGTTTAGTGAGTAGGAGATACATATTTGTCAGATTGAAGGGACCCCTCTTGTTCTACCTTAACAAAAACAGTAATATTAGGTGTGATTTGGGACTGAATAATTTCAAAACAAGTCCTCAATAAAATTTGTGTCCTGCCAAACCATTAGGATATACCTACTTGTTGCTTTGGGATATACAATTTAAGCCAAAACAGTATGAGTTAGATTTGTGAAGCTTACTTCTTGCCTCTGAAAAAGTAACCGTCCCTAAGAAGAACATCCGGAGCATTGGTTTGCAGAAGTAAACATTTTCTAAGTAAGTTGTCAAATATTTTTATAATTCTTCATTTCTCTTGGAAGGAATCTAAAACTACCTACCTGGAAGACCTTCCACCTCTCCCTGAGTATGAATTGCCTCCATCCAAGTTAGGAGAGGAAGTGGATGATGTTTATCTCATTCGAGCTCAAGGATTACCATGGTCGTGCACTGTTGAAGATGTGCTTAGCTTTTTTTCAGGTATAGTTTATGTATGTTTTAAATACATAATTTTGAGCAAAAGATAGTCCCGCAAAATCCAAGTTAAACTATGCTGTAAAAATCTTATTTGATGGTTGAGAATTGTCTCATCTGGTTGGTTACATGTGCATACCAAGTGACACTGTGTGTACCATTTGTGATATATACCAGGTTTAAAGACTGAATGCAACAAAAACAATTTTAAGACAACTAAAAATGTAATGCTAAGACTAAAATTAAAGAAAACCACCCTGGCCGGTTTGGCTCAGCAGTTAAAGCGTTGGCCCATGGTCCAGAGAGTCCTGGGTTCGGTTCCCGCTGAGGGCATGTACCTTGGTTGTGTTTGTCCCCGGCCCCAGTTGGAGTCATGTGAGGAGATGCTTTTCTCTCTCTTTCTTTCTCCCTTTTTCCTTCCCTCTCTATCTGAAGATAAATGCAAAAAAAAAAAAAAAGGAAAAGAAAAAGAAGAAAAGAAAACCAGTTTTCTCTGAAGTTTTAATATGTACAGATCAAAAAGCCAAACCTGTTAGTGGGAATATGGGTTAAGGGTAGCTCTTTATGTAATACATACATGTACGTTTAGAATACAAATCATTTACTAGCAAATGCATAGTTCCCTTGATGACATGTTTGGAAGGTTTACATATCTGTAGTTAATTTTTTTGTTTCTGTATCTGACTGATTTTTAATTTTCTTTTTAAGAGAGTTTTAGAAGATACTACCTTAAATGTTGAAGAAACAATGTAGCCCTGGCTGGTTTGGAGCTTTGGCCTGTAGACCAGAAAGTCCCAGGTTCAGTTCCCGCTAGGGGCATATACCAAAAAAAGAAATAAAATGTAACCAGATATAATGTAACACATTAAGTACCTTAATGTGCATAGCATTGTGTCTTCAGCGTTATAAAGCTATTTAGATCTTTCACTTGCTCCCATTATAAGAATTGTGCAGTATGGGAATGTCTCTTCATAGTAATAAAAAAGGAGAAAAGTGAGATTATGGTAGCAAAATTATTCTTACAGGAGATTTTAGAGTTCTTCTAGTTATGATTGTAACAAAGAAGACACTTATGCACAAACATAACCATAGAAGCATTGAGAAGAACTTAATACATTTTTATGTTGAGACTAGCTTTAAGTGACATTTAATGACCAGGAAATCATAATATGTTTATTTGCAGTAAATTTTGCTTATCTCTTTCACGGGGAACATTTTAGAGACTACTGCCTCATTGGCATTTGGATGGCTTCAGTGGTGGGGGTTTGTATAAAGAGTATGGTAGGCATTTTGGTTCCTGCTTTGTTTTGTTGTTGGAACATTACATTCTAGTAACTTGTATAATTGAGATAAAAGATTGATTTCTGGTTTTCATTGATTTTTTTACTCACATACTTTTAGACTGCAGAATCCGCAATGGTGAGAATGGAATACACTTCCTCTTAAATAGAGATGGGAAACGAAGGGGTGATGCTTTAATTGAAATGGAGTCAGAGCAGGATGTGCAGAAAGCCTTAGAAAAGCATCGCTTGTACATGGGACAGCGGTATGTGGAAGGTATGTGAAGTTGCCTCGTGGTTTTCAGGATTATTACATAAGACTGTACTTTCCAAGGCAGTTTCATTTGATCCTAGCAATAGTGAAGATGTTAGATGTTAGGAATACAACACCCTTTTATGGGGTGCAGAAATGAAGCACAGGGATCATCTCTATTTCTCATTTATAATATGAAGATGTTGACCAGCTTCCTCAAAAGTTGTGATGTTTAAATGAGTGATGCCTGGCACATAGTAAATATTCAATAAATGTCATTTGTTTTTTCTCTAGAGAAGTACATAAAGATGAATAAATACTAGTTTTTAAATTCTTGGATAATCCACCAAGTAGGATTTTTTTTAAAGGCTTCTTCCTTTGTTATGTGAATTCGGCTTATTGTGCTTTTGCTTTGTAGTATATGAGATAAACAATGAAGATGTGGATGCCTTAATGAAGAGCTTGCAGGTCAAATCTTCACCTGTGGTAAATGATGGTGTGGTTCGCTTGAGAGGACTTCCTTACAGTTGCAATGAGAAAGACATTGTAGACTTCTTTGCAGGTACTTTTCAGTTTTATCATGTTTGGGGCTTCATGTCTTCTCTCCCATTTTCTCCTTCTTTATCTTAGGTGAACTTTTTCCCAGATAACTGCATGCAGTTATATTAGATTCTTTAAGGGAGAACTCTTATTTCAAATTTCCAGTATTTATAGATTACATAAGTGTTTTGACCTAGCATGCTGATCTTTGGGGGATGTCAGATTTCAGCATGGTTTCATGTGGGTTTATTTTCCTATTGAGAAAAAATATCCTCTTGTAACTGTCCATATTAAGACAATAACAGTCTATATAATTTAATAGCATTATTTAATTCTTAGCAATAAAATACGCATTGTTAGTAGTGATGTTAGTCTAAATCTCTAGTTGTCCTACAAAATGGGAAAAAATAAAGAGAAAGAGAATTGTGTTTTACATGGACTGCTTGGACCCTAAACATTCTGGAAATAAAGATATATAGGTGTTACTAGTTTTTTGCTGCATAATAATTTTCTTCTAGTTAGGCCTGTATCTAGTTTTGGGACTGTCAAAACAGCTCCCAAATTTTACTAATAAAGTAAAAAATTAGTATGTGAATGAATGTGTTAATTTTAAGTATAAAAAAGCTCCTGTTAGCAGCACTAATTTGTAATAATTTTTTGGTGCCTTAGGACTGAATATAGTAGACATTACTTTTGTGATGGACTACAGAGGGAGAAGAAAGACAGGAGAAGCCTATGTGCAGTTTGAAGAACCAGAAATGGCCAACCAAGCCCTATTGAAACACAGGGAAGAAATTGGTAACCGGTGAGTAAAGCAGATACTAATGATGCAGGAGTATCATACATTGGGTCATTTTTATGAATGCACTATACTATGAGTGTCAGATGATCTAAACACAGACAAGTAGAATAGTATGATGAACTCTTTTTTAATCCTCACCTGAGGACATTTTTCCATTTTTTGTTCAGTAGAGTGGGAGGGAGAGAGAGAGAGAAACATCGACGTGAAAGGGACACATCGAGTGGCTGCCACCCACACAACCCAACCAGGGCTGGGGACAAACTGCAACCCAGTTACACACCCTTAGCGGGAACCAAACCTGGGTCTCTCTGGACCGCAGGCCGACGCTCTAACCACTGAGCAAAACTGGCCAGGGCAGTATGATGAACTGTCAAATGCCTATCACTTAGATTAACTAATTATTGATGTGTTAATTTCCTGTATCTATTATTTCAGTATGCATCTTTAAAATACATTTTCTACCCTGGCCAGGTGGCTCAGTTAGTTAAGGCTTCGTCTCATACACTAGAAGGTCGAGGTTTGATTCCCAGTCAGGGTACATATCTGGGTTGCCAGTTCAATCCCCAGTTGGGGTGCATGCAAGAAGCAGCCAGTCGATGTATGTCTCTGATGTATGTCTCTCTCTCTCACATCATTTCTTTCTCTCCCCCTCTCCCCCCACCCCCTCCCTGCTCTCTCTCCCCCTTCTCTCCTTTTCCCTCCCTCCTTCTCTAAAATCAGTTAAAAAATGCATTTTCTTACATGATCCAAATATTATCACATATGACAAAATTAGCAACAATTTATTATCTAATGCCAGTCCATAATCACATTTTCTTAATTATGCCTATGTCATTATAGTTGGGTTTTTTTGCACCAGAATCTAGACATGGCCCACACTGTATTTGATTGTAATGTCTGCAGTTCTTTTCAAGTAGAGCAAACCCCTTTCTTTATTTTTTTTTTCCTCTTTCCCTTTTTAAATGTTGTTGATTTTTTTTATCCTCACCTGAGGACATTTTTCGATACTTTGTTCAGATAGAGTAGGAGGGAGAGAGAGAGAAACATCAACGTGAAAGGGACACATCGAGTGGCTGCCACCCACACAACCCAACCAGGGCCGGGGACAAACTGCAACAAGGTACGTGCCCTTAGCGGAAACTGAACCTGGGTCTCCAGGACCGCAGCCGACGCTCTAACTGCTGAGCCAAACCAGCCAGGGCAAATGTTGATTTTTGAAGAAACTGTCAATTGTCCTGAACAGTGTCTTCAAGTACTATATTTATCTACTGCTTCCTCATGGTGTCATTAAACTTATTCCTTTGTATCCTGTGTTACTCCCTGGGAACTGGAAGTTAGAGCTAAAGTCTTGAATTGGTTCAAGTTAACATTTTGATATGGATACTCTAGATGACTCTGTATACTGTGTCACATCACCTTAGGGTGCACATAGCGATAGGTGGCTTCTCCTGTGTTTTAACTAATTTTGGAGGAGTACTCAAAAGTGTCAGATTTTATCTTTGAACACATCAAAGTTATTTTATGTAGGGATGTTAAGTCAGTGTAGAAATTTCGTCAATAAATTAAGAAGAGATTAGATGCCCACCTAATCTTCATAAGTTTAAGTAGAAATAATTTTTACAATTCACGTTTAATTACTGATTTGGAAAAGCAGTGCTGAGTAAAACAAAACTAGATCCAGAAGCTTGGATTTAATAGATAGTGTCACTGCCAAGCAGATCAGAATTGACATTTAGTTCATGTTCTCGTTGGACTCTTAGCAAAGTTCTAGAGGAAATTAGCTCCTCATGTACTGTGACTTTTAATATCTTAAATAGATATGATTAATTTTCACAAAATCAAATTTTAAGTTTTCAATAGATTGTTAACCAACTGTGAAAAACAAACACCTACCATATTTTTTGCAAACACACAACCATAGCATAGTTGTTCTCATGAAGCAAAACAAGGTAGAAAATACTATTAAAATGTATATGAAGAAAACTGTTATCTTGGGGGGATTAAATCAGTGATCTGTTCTGTTGAGAGTACTTTTACATGGGCTAATATCTATTCTTACTCCTCCCCCACACCTGTTATCTTTGGACAGCTGTTGGAAGTATATATGCATGTCTTATTTTAAATGAGTCAGTGTAAAGTTACTTTGCACCATTTGTGCCTGTTCTCTTTTGCTTTGACATAGATATATAGAGATATTTCCAAGCAGAAGGAATGAAGTTCGAACACATGTTGGTTCTCATAAGGGAAAGAAAATGGCATCTCCTACTGCTAAGTATATAACTGAGCCAGAAGTGGTCTTTGAAGAACATGAGGTAAATGAGGATAATCGACCAATGACAGCTTTTGACAGTGAGAAGGAAATAGGTAAGGACCTGCCTTTTGTTGAGACTCCTTGGGTCTATCTTGTATATTTTGTTGTTGTTTTTAATCCTCACCCAAGGATGTTTTTCCATTGCTCTTTAGAGAGTGTGGAAGGGAGAGAGTGAGCAAGAGAGACATATTGATTGGTTGCCTCCCACAGGACCCCAACCAGGGCCAGGGATCGAACCTGCAACCCTTTAGTCCAAGGGCTGATGCTCCAACTATTTAGCCAAACTGGCCAGGGCGATCTCGTATGTTTTGATATTTGTTAAAAATGCATGTATTTTTTTCTTTTTACCATGTTGTATGAAATTGTAAGACTATCAGACAGGTGACTTAAGTTAAAGATTTAATGTGTCTTTGAGTGTAGTATGTTCTTTGAATATATGCAGAAGGGCTTAATTATTTCATAAGGTTTTTAAATTTAATAATTTTATAGATTGTATATCAGAAAAGCTGGGTGGCACAAATGTAACAGGAAGTAAAATGTCAATATTTAAACTAAGGTGGGAAAAGATTTGGGTAGAGTGCAGGAATGTTGACTAAGTAAGGAGTTTGTTTGTCTCTTTATATAATTATTCCTTTGATTTCTAACCCCAAAGCAACATTTGGAATCTTTGAAGTTTGATAAATCCTTTTAAAACTGGTATCCTGGGATTATCCTGTTACTATACATTTTTATTTTTAAAAAATTTTAAATTTATTTTTATTTTTTTAGTGCTTATAATCCAGAAAGTTACTCTTTCTTTATTTTTTTTTTCATTAATCATTTTTCCTCCTCTCTTTTGTTATAGAAAGATGTTCTTTTGTAATCTGGTAATGGGTTGAGGCACTAAATTCTTATGGTTGTTTAGGTATTATTTGTAAGATGACAGAAATTTCAAATTTTTTTGGCTTTTAAAATTAAAGCCCATTCGCCCAGCCAGTGTTGCTCAGTGGTTGAGTGTCGACCCATGCACCAAGAGGTCGCTGGTTTGATCCCGGGTCAGGGCACATGCCCAGACTGGGAGTGGGGGTATATAGAAGGCAGCCAGTCCATGTTCTCTCTCATCGATGTTTCTATTTCTCTCTCCCTCTCCCTTCCTCTTTCTCTAAAACCAATAAAGAAAAAACAAAACAAAACAAAAACTGGCATTTGAAAAACATTAAAAAAGTTAAAGCCCTGGCTGGTTTGGCTCAGCGGTTAGAGCATTGGCCCGAGGACCAGTGAGTCACAGGTTCAATTCCAGTCAAGGACACGTACCTTGGTTGCGGTTCGTCCCCAGCCCTGGTCGGGTCGTGCGAGAGGCAACCACTCGATGTGGCTCTATCACATCAATATTTCTCTCTGTCTGTCTGTCTCGTTCTCTCCCTCCCTTCTTCCCTCCCACTCTGTCTGATGATAAATGGAAAAATATCCTCAGGTGAGGAATTAAGAAAAAAAATTAAAACCCTTTTTTCTTACTGATTCAAGAAGAATTGAGGATTTTGACATAAAGGTCGTATCTAATTGTAATCTGTTAATTACTCTTGAAGCTTTTATGCTCTTGACCAGCAGTTCTTAACCTTTGGGTCACGACCCCTTTGGAGGTCGAACGATCCTTTCACAGGGGTCGGCTATAACCATCAGAAAACACATATTTCTGATGGTCTTAGGAACCCAGACACTGCTCCGCTATCCATCTCCAGGCGGGTCTGCCCACATGCAGATACGCCCACATACAACATGAGGAACTGTATTAAAGGGTTGTGGCATTAGGAAGGTTGAGAACCACTGCTCTTGACAGTGCTTTTGTTCCACTTCTCAGAATTGCCTAAGGAGATGTCGGAAAAGCTTCCAGAGCCTGTTGATTTTGGAACTACATCTTCACTACATTTTGTTCACATGAGAGGATTGCCTTTCCAAGCCAATGCCCAGGACATTATAAACGTGCGTGGCAGTAAGATATCTAATCTCAGTGGGTTTAAATAAAAGTTCTAAAATTGAACTTCTGTCCATTTTGAGGAGGTAGAGAAAAAAGTACAATGTTTCTGGAGTATTGTTAGATAGTAAGATTTACATCTCCATGGCTAGGGAGGCTAGTTTTATTTTCTTAACCTCAGCAGTATGGGTTTTATTACATCTTAAGGTGAATGTATGGTGGATAAGAGGATTTTACAGATGCAAAATAGTATGATGTAGGTTTACTATTCAAATAAAGTTTGGTTTTTCTCTAAATTGGTTCAGCCTATTCAGTTTTGAGTTTAGGAAACAGGCCCAGAGGCATTTGCCATCGAGCAGTGATGCACTAGAAAGGAATTCAGCTCTCCTAAATGCCTGGAGCTTTTGTTAGACCATGTGGTTCCCTAAGTTTTTGAGAAAAATAATTTTTAAATTATTTTTATTTCATAATAGATACTATATGAAATGAATAGTAAAACAACAAAGCCCTTATTGACTTCATGAACTTGAGAATATAAACTTAAGATAGAGTTTTCAGTTAGGTAGTGGGACCTGAGAATTGTCTTTATTATAATTTCAAGAAGCCTAATAGGTATTGAAATTTTACCTAAATGAAGGTGCATAGTCTCTTTAAAGCATTACATTTTATTGCTTTGGTTTGGTTTGAAAATCACTCAGTGTGGTAGCTCTGTTTAGACAGTGTTGATAAGAAACTGGTTATCAGCTATATGTCTGATGAAAAAATGGTAAAAGTGAATTACTAAGAAATAAAGTATATGTGATGGATAGTTTTTAGAAACAGGGAAGGTTGTGTGTGGGAAGAATAATAAAAGTGGTCTTTGTTGGTATAAAAAAATGTTGAGACCCATTTATTATATAGTGTCGTACTTGTAGTTTAAGTTCTCTGTGACCGATGCTTGAAATGAACCTTGAGTTAGAAGATCAGAAAAGCCAGAAGAGTTGGTAGATGTCTAACTACTTTGTTGCTTAAAGAGATTTCCTAAAAACAAATCAATCAAAGTGTATGAATCAAAGTCTGAAAGAAAAATGCAGAACCACTAGACTTCTAGAAATTGGACTTAGTACCATTATGTTCTTTTTGGCTTCCCTTGTTTGTTGTTTAGTTTTTTGCTCCACTGAAGCCTGTTAGAATCACCATGGAATACAGTTCCAGTGGGAAGGCCACTGGAGAAGCTGATGTGCACTTCGATACCCATGAGGATGCTGTTGCAGCTATGCTCAAGGACCGGTCCCACGTTCGTAAGTGCTGCCCGTGGTTTTTCACTGTCATTTTTGATGTATGTCTTTTCTTACAAATGCCATTTTCTGTCTTGTTTTTTTTTTTTCCTAGCATATTTCCTTGGGAAAATTGTACATTGTCATTATCACTAAATGTAAAAAGGATGAGACATTATATTGTAACGAAAAGCATTTATTTGCTAATTATCCTGCATATTTCTATCCAGAGTTAGGATTTTTTAATTTTGTTTTTGGTTTTAGTAGGAATGGGCAAAGGGTTTGAGTTTCTGTCTGAACTATGAGAAAAATGGCTACACTATTATTTTTGCTTTTTCATCTTTTTGAAATGAATCTTTTTTGCCATTCTCAGACCATAGGTATATTGAATTGTTCCTGAATTCATGTCCAAAGGGAAAATAGGACTTCCAAGGACTCCAGATAATAAGGTAAATTTAAAAGGTCCAACTGTGGAAACTATTTTCAATGGATAATCATTAACTCACTAATTTATAATATGGTAGAAACTGTTCTTTTTAATAAAGATAAACTGATCATGATAATTGAAGTTATCAATATAAGGAATTAAATTCTCCTGGGAAACAATTCATTATAAGAGTATAATGGCTTTGAATATTTTCCTCATATACAGTCTTTTTTTTTTTATTCTCACCCGAGGACATTTTTCGATATTTTGTTCAGATAGAGTGGGAGGGGAAGGGAGAGAGAGAGACATCAACGTGAAAGGGACACATCGAGTGGTTGCCACTCACACAACCCAACCAGGGCCGGGGACAAACTGCAACCAAGGTAAGTGCCCTTAGCAGGAACCGAACCCAGGTCTCTCCAGACTGCGGGCCAAAGCTCTAAACGCTGAGCCAAACTGGCTAGGGCCATATACAATCTTTTTGCATCTTTCTCAACATTTACCATTCTGTGTGCCTAAAAATAACTTTCACCTTTAGTAGCAGTAAAACATACACTGGAAATGTGCTTGCATTGTTTTTATTTCTGTAAAATTTTAAACACATTTCCTCAGTTCTAAGATGTTTAAAATGATATATTTGAAACCAGGTTATGTCAGTGATATATATACACTTAATGTACCACTGTTTCTTTTCCTAAAATGGTGTTATGAAAATGGTTGTACTAAGAAGTTCTTAAGGTTAACTTATCTGTGACAGATTTACTAAATGATGTCTTGATGTCTTTTCCCTTGACTAAATGTTATGTGTTATCTTTTTTTTTTTTACCCTATAAGATCTTTATATATGTGTGTGTGTGTGGTAGGTATTTTAATCCTCACCTGAGGATATATTTTTATTGATTAGAGAGAGGGAGAGACATTGATATGAGAGAGAAACATCGATGGGTTGCCTTCTATATGTGCCCCAACCAGGGATCAAACCTGAAACCTGGGTGTGTGCCCTGACTGGGAGTCAAACTCATCACCTTTTAGTGTATGGGATGACACTCCAACCAACTGAGCCACATCTGCCAGGGCAACTCTTTTAATGTATTTTATTGTAATCATTTTTCTACACGTAGTGGTGTCTTCCTTTGAGACACTTAACCGTATTGATTTCTTGAAAACATATGGGGCATTTCTTTATAATAGTTGTCATGGGCTGTTTTTGAATGTAAAATCCCACAATCTCGTGATATTAAATGTTTACATTAGCTAAAATCCGAGTAAAATATATTCTGTGCTCCACTTTAAAAATCTCTTATCTTCTTGCCTGGCCGGTGTGGCTCAGTGGATTGAGTGTCTTCCCATGGACTGAGTGGTCCCAGTTCAATTTCTGGTCAGGGCACTGCCTGGGTTGCAGGCTCCATTCCTAGCAGGAGGCAGCTGATTGATGTTTCTCTCCCATATCAGTGTTTCTGTCTGTCTGTCCCTCCTCTCTCTCTCTCTCTGAAGAATCAATAAAAACATATATTTTTTTAATGTAAGAAAAAAAATAATCTCCTATCTTTAAACCAGGCTGGAAATACTGATGCCTAACTAATTTTCTTCACCTCAGCTTAATTGATTTGTTAGATAAGTTGCACGATATTGGAAAGAAAAAAAAAAAGGGTTGAAATTGTTATTTTAAATAGTATGGGAACATAAGTTTAACACTTTTTCATTTTCAGTAAAGGTGCAAACTTTTTTTTTTTTGCTTTCAGGATGAAGCAAGAAGCATTTCATTTGCACATCTTTCTTGGATATGGGATGTAAGATTCCAGTGTTTTAGCAGCAACCATTAGAGAAAGGATTTTGGGATTTGGGGTTAATTGCTTATAAGAAAAATTCCATAGTGGACTGTTTAGAAAGAAAAGGAAAGATTCAGTTTGGGATTAAATAAACCACAAATTTAAATTTTGTTTCAACTGTCCAGGATAGGATCTGACTTAAAAATCTGGTCTTTATTTTATGATTAAATAATTTGTTTTCATAGAGGATATATTACCCAATGTAAACACTGCATATTTTTATTCAGCCTTGTCCTTTAAAATCTTCCTCCCATTTTAAAAATTGTTTGTTTGAGAGCTCTGATAGAAAACTTCCTATGGAATAAAATACTGATTTGTTTTAATCAAATACTCACCAAAGCAAAGAAAGGTTTCAGACTTTTGAATCATTATGGTTTGGCAGAGTAGTTATAATTTTAGTTATAATTGATCACTTAGGGGTAGGAATTAAAAAAAATCTAAAACAAAAAAATAAATACCACTGGTTAATGAGTATAATGGACAACTGTTTGGCAGTTTCATATCTTTAGAAATGTTTTGCCTGTGCTACTGTATACTTTAGGAGGGAATTCTAGTCTCAACTTAAAAGTTGTCTGAACACATCCTCACCCCCCACCCCTTTTTTTGGTTTTGGGTAAACATTAGGGGTGTTAGTCTCAAAACTGTGAAGTGACATGTCAGACAGTCCCTACTGATAAGGACATTAGTGGCTTCACTTGAATTTAAACCAGCTCTAGATAGGAAAAAAAATCTAAGTCTCCTCATTTGCTTTTTCAGTGGGGTAGCACATCCCATATTTTAGAACAAGTAGGGGTGCCTTGCTTAAATAAAAATAGCATTTAATGTATAATTGTGTGAAGGGTTTATGGATAAAGCTGTACTTCTGTCACATTGTGGCAGTACCTTCTGCTTTAATATTAAACAGCTTGTTATTTAAATATTGGATCAAAATGGCTGGCTTTAAAATGTAGTTGTTAATAAACTAATTTTATGTGCACCTGTGTAGGAGAATCAAAGTCCTGTATACTTTCTTTGCCTTGTTCCTATTCTCAGGGTAACTACTGCTCTGTAGTTACCAGGAAATGCAATTATAGATCTTAAAATCAATTTAGCCCAGATTTCTGAGAGGTGATATCTGGAGAAGAGATTATGCCTTCTCTCACTCAACACATAACCATCTTTGATTACCAGCTAAGATACAAAATCACTGTACTGTAAATAGTTAATAAATGAAGGCTTGGTTCAGGCTGCAGATTACCTAAGAGTATTTATTTTGGAGTGTGTGGATAAACCAAATATATTTTTATTACATGAAGTCCTGGTATGTTGTTATAAGGGGAAATGATTAATCTTCAGTTGTTTGTCATCCTATAAGAACATGACTTAATCAACCAGCGTAACAGCTTCAGTATTATTGCTAAGATGGACATGTGGTTTCATATATGTGTACTGAGCTGTGGGAACTGGTGTCTGTATCTGTATGATCTATTAGAATGTGATCTTTTCTCTCTTCCTGTGGCAGTGTGTGTCTTGTTTGCTGTGAAAAAGTCGGTAGGGTCTTTTGGGATTCAGGTTGGTGAGGAATTAATTCATTTGCAGTTACTTTATTTTAAAGCTAGTGAGTTTCATTTGCATTCTCTGGGAAAAGAATGAGAGTAAGAACCTTACAGTGTTGTGTGGTCGGTAAGCTTGAAAAGGGTCTACTCACCACATTAGTGGCTGAGTTACCAGTAAAAAAAGGTGGCCATTCTTGGGAAGTCAACTTACGAGTTTATATGCTTTTCTGTACTCCCTTTAGCAAGTTATTGCTCATAATTTAGGCTACTAAATGAATGATTGCAGACAAGGCAAGTGTAAAAAGAATAAAATAGAATAAATAGAATAAACATAATAGAATAAAAGTGATGTTTTATTTCTAGCCAATCAAAAGACATATTTCTCTTAACACCAAATTTGACAAAACCGGGTTGTATATCATCATTTATTATTGAAATAAGTAATGACAGTGATTTTTCTCTTCTGTTTGTGTCTTTGTAATCTCCTTTGTGGTAAAGCTATCAAAAATAGCAGGATTGATATGGCCAGGTTTACCCATATCCTGCGTTACCTAACTACTTCTCAAGGAGTTGCAAGGGAGGACTCTGATAACTAACATGTAGATACCAAAGAGGAAATGACAAAGATTGTGATCTGATCTGATATACTCACTGATGACAGAGAATGAAGCAGAAACAGTATTTGTCCCTCTGTGCCTGGGTGAAGGAGGCTTCTGCCAGTTTGAAAGGGAGGTTGAGTCTTCTGTGGAGTGGAAGTCTCTTAAATCCTCAGTACATCTGCAGTATGGGGGGGGGGGGGGGCAGGAGAAAGCCACTTCTACCTACATGACATTTTGAGGCAAGTACCCTGCTTATTATTAGTCAACATGCCCTATTGGCATCCTCTGCCCTAAACTGCCCCTCAGCAGATTCTCTTTTGGGGATTTTTCTCTGGGTTACATTTTTGCATTTTACAATTTAAAACATCCCATTGTTTTCAGAGTTTCCCCTAAATTAAGTCAAAGGGTTTACATCCAGTTGGTAGGACCTGTATTATAGAACAGAATGGTATTATTTCAGCAGTAGAGGCAGCCCTAAACCTAAGTTCTGGGACTTTAAAAAATTGCTCTAATGTGGTAGGAATGGAGTTTTCCCCTGATTCAGCAGATTAGAAGATAATCTCTGAAGTTTGTATGAAGGGAATAAAGCTGCTATAAAGCTGCTATTTGTGTGTAGGATTTTATGTGTATATATTTCAACTCATTTGGGTAAATACCGAGGAGTGGGGTTGCTGGATCATATGGTAAGACTATGTTTAGTTTTTACAAGAAGCTGTTAAACTATCTTCCAAGGCGGCTGTACCATTTTGCATCCTCACCAGCAATGAGGGGGAGTTCCGGTAGCAACTCATCCTTGTCAGCATTTGGTGTTTTGAATTTTAGCTATTCTAATAAGTGAGTAGCGGTATCTCGTTTTAATTTGTAATTCCATAAGATGTGGAGCATCTTTTTATATCTTTGAATCGGCATATTGTCTTTAGTGAAGTGTGTGTTCAGATCTTTTGCCCAGTTTTTTAGTTGGGTGGTTTCCTTAATTTTAGAAAGGGGATATAAATAAGAAGGTTTTATTTGGTTCTTAAGCCTTGATGATATGAAAATAAACAGTGGGATAATTTTTTAAATTGTTAAATTTTATTTTTGAAGGAAATAATATTCTAGAGATATGAAGGGGTATATAGTTTCCCTCCCATTCTGTACTTCAGCCACTTACTTTAGGCAACCCTGTTATCACTTTCTAATGTGAACTTCCAGTGATATTTACTGTATAGGTAAGCAAATAATAATAATAAACATTTTCATTTCTTTTTAAAATATATAGCATACTATACATCCTATTCTGTACCCTTCTCCCATTTAATACATCCTAAATTCATTCGATATCAGTGTACAAAGTCTTGCCTCTTTTTTTTTTTTTTTTTAATCTTAGAGGAAGGGATAGAGAGGGACAGACACACACATTGGTCAGTTGCTTTCTACACTCACCCCGACCAGGGGTTGAACCCACAACCCGGGCATGTGCCCTGACTGGGAATCAAACTCGCCACCTTCTGCTGTACCAGATGAGGCCGTTACCAGCCAGGGCTTTCCTCAGTTTTAAAAAATGATTGTACAGAATAGATAACAAGCAGTTGAACCTGTCCCTAACTAATGAACATATGAATTGTTTCCAACCTTTTGCTATTATGATGCTGAAATGAATTATCTTGTATAAATTTTTCATTTTGTACATACATAAATTTCTCTGTAGGATAAAAGGTCAGAGTATGTGCACTTGTAATTTATATAAAATTAAATTTATATCTGTATATTTTTTCTTAGTTCGCACCAGCAGTGCAAGTGCCCATTTCCCCGTAGCCTCACTGACACAGTGTATTAGCAACTGTTCTTTGCCAGTCTGAGAAGTTAAGCATGTGCACACACACATAGGCACACATGCACACGCACACACAGAATGGTGTTCTCATTAGATAACATTTCACATTTAGAGCTTTTGGACTTCTGTTTCTGTGAATTCTCTTCATATCCTCTCCCATTTTTCTTTTATAATCCCCATCTACTTATCAAACTCAATAATTTTAAAGCAAATCCAAACCATAGTATCATTTATCTGTATTTCAGTATACATCTCTTTAAAAAGGACTTTAAAAATACCATCATTCCTGATGATACTAATTTCTTATTATGAAATATTTATCTGAAATGTCCTTTTAAGAAAAACTTTGAGTCAGGATCTAAACAGCCCACATACTGCAATTGGTTACTATGCCTCTTTTCCCCTCTGTGATGTTTTTTAATATAAATTTTTAAGCATACAGAAAAATTCAATTATAAGTATGCCTATACCAATCACCTCGATTCTACAAAGTAATATTTTGCCGTATTTTCTTTATCATCTGTGCATCCATTGATCTATTTTCTTTGTGCATGTCAAAGAAAGTTGTAAATATCTGTATTTGACTCTTAAGCTTTTGAGCATATGTATTGTTTTTTTTCTTGTAAAATTTACAGTGAAGTGAACAAATGTTAAGTGTACCATTTGATAAGTTTTGATGTACAACTTGTAACCCAAACCCCTAGCAAGCTATGGAACGTTGTCATCACATCAGAAAGGTTCTTTACCCCGTCACTTCCTGCACCTTTCCCATCCCTTCTCCCTGTTAGGATTTTGTTTTCACTGTGGATTAGTTTGACCATTCGAGAACTTCATATAAATGGAATCATAACAGTATGTGTTCCTGTGTAAATTTCTTTTCAGTGTGTTTTGAGATTCATCCATGTGTTTCAGCTTTGTTCCGTTTTATTGCTGAGTAGTATTCCATTGTATGAATATGCCACAGTTTAACTTTTCATGTGTTAGGTGAACAACTGGTGGACAGTGGGCTGTTTCCAGTTTTGGGCTATTAAAATAAAGTTGCTGTGAACCTCTGTGCAAGTCTTTTTGTGGACCTATGTTTTAATTTCTTTTGAGTAAGTACTTAGCAGAATATCCTGAGTTTTAAGATGGTATATTTTAAATTTTACTAGAAATTGTCCTGGCTGGTTTGGCTCAGTGGTTGGAGCGTTGGCCTGCAGACCAGAGAGTCCCAGTTTTGGTTCCTGCTAGGGGCACGTACCAAAAAAAAAAAATTTTTACTAGAAATTGACATACCTCTTTCCAAAGTGGTCATCCTATTTTACATACATACAAACAATATGAGAGTCCCATTAGGCCTACAGCTTCACCATTTGGTGGTGTCTTCCTGTAATTTTAATCCTTCTTTGTGAGTGGTGAAACCAGGCACTTAACCGGTCCAAGGCTGCTTGTCACTACTTGAGCCAAATTAAGCAGAGACAAAGTTGAATCGTATGTGAGCGTTTATTCCAATAATGCCGCAGTATGGAGAGAGCGTCAGGTCATCCTGAACAAAACTGCTCCCCCTCATTTCATTTCAAACAAACTCTTATATAAGGTAAGTGGGTGGGGGGAAAATCTGAAGTTAGTGAGTTCCCATTGACTGCTTTTTTTTCATTGTCCTTGCAAAGATTAGCCCTAGAACGCTGCCTCCCTTTGGATAGGTGCTGTCCTTGATCAGGGCTGCGGGCTGCTTTATTTCCAGGTCCTGTTCTTGTAACATGTTCTTCAGTTTCCCAGGTTTGTAAGGAAATCTCTTTTTTATACTGAGTATTAAACAACTGGTTCTGTTGCTATTGCATGCCCCTCCCCTGTCATTCATATCCCATCTGTGGTTTTAATTTGGTTTCCTTGACAATTATGTTAAGCATTTTTTCATAAGCTTTTGGGCCATTCAAATTTCTCTAGTGAAGTTGAAGTGCCTTTTTCCTATTTCTTTTAATCGATATGTTTCCTCTTCCATTTTCTTTTCCTTTATTTTATTTATTGGTTAATCCTCACCCGAGGATCTTTTTCCATTGGTTTTTAGATAGAGTGGAAAGGAGGGAGGGAGAGTGAGAGAAACATTGATGTAAGAGACACATCGATTGATTGCCTCCCAAACAACACTGACTAGGGCCAGGGATTGAACCTGCAACCCAGGCACGCGCCCTTGACCGGAAACTGAACCCTTGACCCTGCAGTCCAAGGGCCAACATTCAAACTGCTGAGCCATAGCAGCCAGGGCTTTATTGTTAATTTTTTTTTTTTTGAGAGAGAGAGAAAGGGAGAGGGAGGGAGAAACATTGATAGCTGCCTCCTGCATGCCCCCTACCAGGGATTGAGAGCCCAACCTGGGCATGTGCCCTGACCTGGAATTGAACCAGCAACATTTTGGTGCATGGGATGATGTCCAACTGAGCCACTCGGGCCAGGGCTGTTTTTGAAAAAGTAAGATTAACCTGTAGAAGTTTCTACAATCTGAATTTTGCTAATTGCTTTTCTGGGGCTATTGACCACTTTTCTGTTGTTTGGTCTTTCTCTTAACTAGTCAGCAGGAGCTCTTTATTCTTGCAATGAACTAGCTTTAAATATTTAACTCCCCCCCCCCACACACACACATACTTTGTCACTGTTTATTATGGCAGAAATTATTTTCATGTGGTGGAATTCTTAAATCTTCCCTTTCATGGCTTCTAGGTTTTGTGTCAGAATTAGGACCCAGTGAGATGATTTTGAAAGCACTTGGTGATAAGGTATGAAGGCATGTATCCAAGGTAGACTCTAGAATATGGAGTCTACAAGGATCACCAAGATACATTTAAGAACAAACTTTTCAAATGATCCTGACTAAATTGAATCCCACAGGTCAAACTGCACATATTTAAAGACGTTTGTCCCAAAACACACCTGGTTCTAATTGAAATAAAGGCTCACCACCTTTCTTTCTGCCACTTGACAATGACATTTGGAAATAAAGACCAAAAGCAAAAGAGAAACGAGTTAATTACAATTTCTGATAGATGACTGAAATTTCATTCACTTCTTGCCCCCCCCCCCCAAGGAAGTGAATGAAAGACAAGTGATAATATTGAGCTAATTTTTTTTTTTTTTATCACCCGAGGACATTTCTCCATTTTTTTGTACAGATAGAGTGGGAGGGAGAGAGAGGAAGGGAGAGAGAGAGAGAAACATCGACGTGAAGGGACACATCGAGTGGCTGCCACCCTCACGACCAACCAGGGATGGGGACAAACTGCAACCGAAGTACGTGCCCTTAGCGGGAACCGAACCCGGGTCTCTCCGGACCGCAGGCCGACAATATTGAGCTAATTTTTAACCTGCTCTGATTTATAAGAGTAAATTATTTGTGATAAACCTTACCAGTGAGTACGAGTGATACTCTTGCCAGAAAGCAGCACTCCAAAATGGCAAGACAATACTGCTGCCTGGAGACTGTTTTTCCACCTCCCTGCCCACTGGAGGCCTGAGTGATCTGCTCACTAAGCTTAGTTATTATTAACTGCTAGAAATGGGACATCCTCAGCCATGCTTACAACTGGTCACTGGTTCTTTAAACCAGTTTTATATTTCAAGGTAACAGGCTGTCTTTGAATCAAGTTTGCCACATTCTAGGTATAGAAGTTGTGCTTTTCTGACTTGGTAGACTGATTGACATGCATACAAAATCAGCTGTCCTGAGGAATGTTGAGAACAACATGGAAGACCTCAATAGTTGACAATCCCCAAGCAAACAGATGTCTAAGAGTCACTAAAATTTAACCTGGGAGAACATTTGGGGGTAGGGAAATATATTAGGTTACTTGAAAGACATTTTATTATAAAAACATGGCCACTAATTTCTGAAATAAAATTCTTTAGAAAGGGCTGGCACTCTGATGAGCAAAGCTGAAATGAGGCTGTGATAGTGGCCCCAGGAGCTACATGAAAATCACTAGGCCATACCCGGAATCCTTTCACAGAATTAATTCCCTTCAAATATTTCATTATATGTTTTTATACTTTCACTATAAATAATAAATGAAGGACCTTAGGCTGAGCTATGTCTGAATTAAAATCCACAGGCAGAAAATCCTTAGATTCTATTTGAAAATAACTTAAAACTGAATTTAGGGAGTTCACTCAGATTCTGTTAGTTTGGACCTGTAGTTTTGAGGATGAAAGCACAAATTTATTAAAATAAACTATATTTTAGCCCGGGCCGGTGTGGCTCAGTTGGTTGTGTGTTGTCCCATGGACCAAAAGGTTGCCAGTTCTATTCCTGGTCAGGGCACATTCCCCAGGTTGTGGACTCGAATCCCCCATAGTGGGTGTGCAGGAGGCAGCTGATCAATGTGTAGTTCTCACATCAGAGTTTCTCTCTCCCTCTCCCTTCCTCTCTATAAAAACCAACAAAAATATTTTAAAACATAAACTATTTTAGATATACTAAACTGTGGCAAAAATAGAACTGTATATACTTATTGAACTTCCTATTGTTGACATCTTACTTTGCTTCAGTATATTTGTCACAGTCAATGTTA